TTAATATTTGTTATCAGTACTTCAGTAGCTWCTAAGCTTGACTGGCTTGAGTCCTTCACTCAACTTCACGTCTTCACGGTTCGCAATATTCATAATAGTAAATTTAAATTCTATAAAATGCCAAGTAGAATTTTAGTTTCATTCTTTTTTTAAGTCATTCGTTTCTATTTACTCAAGATTTAAAATGGCTGTGTTACAAAACCACATAAATGACAAAAACATACCGGATCAYATTTTAGTGTTAAATAGAATTGACATTAAAAATATAGTTAATTTACCTCTAAAAGCTACACAAAGAATAAAAGTCAGTGACACAAAATATTGTGTGATTCATTTTTTTTWAATTTCTCTCCTGTTTTAGTATACTTGTTTTGAAGTATCACAGAACTTTATCATTCTTGGAGCTTCTAGTGGTGGATTGTATGTATTTCGCAGACAACCTTGTGAATTTATACAACTGCTTCCAAATAAAGTGAGTTATCATATTATTACCAAGAGTATAAAAATCCAATGATAAAATATATTTTATATTTAATTGTATAAAATGCACCTTAAAAAGGTAGTTAGTGCTTTTCAAACTGGTTTYTTAGRTATTAAAACGTAATTTAGGTACTTTTATTGTTCAAAAAAAATTTTAAAGAGTTTTTAAATTCTCCTTTTATAATAAATAATATATTATGTTTTTTTTTTATTCAYTAATTATTAATTTACGTATACGCCTTTGTTAATTTTTTAYTTAAATAAAACAAATACCTAGTTATAATTATTTAGTTAATAAGTATTAAHATTTCATKCAATGTATCATTCACTTTTACTTTTTTGTGTTGAATTGTAGATAATCATATGTAGGTATATATTTATTTAAAAGTTAATATAAATTTATAAATTAATGTACCTAAAGGAAGGATCTGTGACTCAAATTGCTGTATCTAAAGATGAAGATCTTATTGCATTTGGTACACAAAAAGGCATTGTKTGTATATTACAAAGAAATGAAAATGGGGTTGGTGCAAAGTTAATAAATAAGTCCACTGAACATTTAGGACATGAAATCACTGCTATGAAATGGACTTCAAAGAATCAAATATACTTCGGCGATTGCAATGGAAAAGTCACTTCAATATATGTATCATTATTTGTTGTAAGTATAAATTCTTGTAATAATTTTARTTATTTTATTATTTATATGACTGAATGCAACTATATAATTCAAAATACAGTGTAGTACATTTTCTATTTTTTCCTCACTTTGTTTAAAAAAATTTTCAGCGGAAAGCCATTTTCCAAACCCCGCCATTTACTATGATTGAACTGGATTCAAAAGTTATTCAAATAGATAGTGCTGATGATATATTAGTGATCTCAACATTGACTAGATGTTATGTTTGTGATATGTCTCAAGAGCAATTTAAACAAATTGGAAAAAAACCTAGGGATGGAGATTATGGTTGCTGTATTGTCGCATGGAATGAAAAGAAAATATTTTCTGCACGACCAGGTTCAAGAATTTGGGAAGCAGAGATAAACGGCATTGTAAAAAGTACACATCAACTAAAATACTGTTTAGCTATTCCGCCAACACTTAATCTTTGTGCACAAAAACCATTTGATTTATCAAAGATTTCTGGGAAAAATTGGCCACCACAGTCTTTGAATTTTAAAAAACTGTATTCAATTTGGGAAAATTGCTTACTTACATATACATCAAATAGTATTTTTATACTAGATATGTTAAAAGTTAATGTTCTTTTATGGTGTGACGGATATAATAATATACAAAATGTCAAGTATATTGAAGATACTGTATATATATGGTCTTCAAATGGTGAGCTTATTGCTGAAAAAATCACTCCTCTTCAAAATTATTTGGTTAATTGTTATGAGTTTGAAGATTACAATACCTGCATTTCATTGATAGAACATTATTATGATAGAATAGTAAATACAAGATGCATTATTGATGAGTTATATCCACTTGTTAACATAGATCAAAAAATAGACTTGCCAGTTAATACAAACAATTTGATCTCAAAAATTAAAAAGACTTATTATTTAAAACAGCAATTTTTTAAGATGCCATCTGGAATTTACTCATTGAAGAATTATGTATATGTCAAAAAAAGTTATAAATTAAAAAGAAGTTTTAGTTTACTTTCCATTAAGTCTGATAAACCGGTATTACGTTATAAGTCTATGCTAAATATACATATAAATCTAGAAAAAGTAAAAAAGTCTGAACAGTATCCATTTAGTGACTATTCTAARTTAAACAATAAACAAGTTTTTGATCAGATTTATATGGAGTTAAATATTCCTTCAATTCCATTTGTTTCGTTGGCTACTTCTGAGGTATTTCATGATACTTTAATGGAAATAGGGTCAAATGTTACTGATAAAATTGCTAAGAGTAGTAAAACTCTCAAAGATACATTAAATAATCTTACTGCTAGTACAGGTAAAAATGATTTAGTGCCATATGAAATATCAAATACTATTAATCGACCAGATCCACCRCCTGTTGATGAAAGTGAAGTAGATGTTTCAAATTATAAATTGGACCTTGAACATCGTGAAAAGCTTAATTTACTTCCTATTTTAAAAACATGTAAAAAACTTCAAAATGGATATAAATTAGATGTTGACTGTTTACAACAGTTATGTAATGGTGTATGTGAAGTGAAATCTAATTTGGAAAATGTTGTACAAGTTAAACAGCCAATGTTTCCATTTCAACAATATTTGAAAGACAAAGATTTTAATACTATTAARATAGCAATAAATGATAGTTTTATTTGTAATTTAGTAGGAAAATGGGCTGATATACAAACCAAATATATTTTGATTTCAAATAAATTTAATTACCCAGAATTTTTAACTTACTATTTGGATGAAAATGATTTTAAAAAAGATACTGAAGTCAGTGAGTTAATCACATTATTTGGTCAAGTTATGGAAGTAGGTAGTATATTTCATTTTATGCTGAGTGGTAATTTAAAATGTTCTTATGCAATATTTTGTAAGATTTTAAAAATGAGTTCCAATAATGATGAAAAGACCGAAGAACCATTATTAATGTATTTAAATTCAATGTATGTGTTTTTGAGGTTGGACCAAATTGAATCATTTCGTTTACTTGGATACAAAAGAAACATCAAACCAATATATGTATTTTATTTATTAATGAAATTTTCAGTACATTTAGAGTCAAACAATCGTGAAAAATGTAATTCAATATTTCTGTCCTATATATCACACTTTGATGAAAGTATTTTTACTGATTATAACATTCTATATTATGCTGTTTATAGTTTTGTAATGCTAAATAATCAGAAAACCCGTTTATGCACATGTGGATTTCCATTGGAAAGTGTTGATGGTAAATTTAAAAAGCTTGGAAAAATACTAATTGATTATTTATCTAGTGCAGATATAAATTTGGAGCAGTTACATATAATTTTGCATAAATTTGTAAAATGTGATGTRACTACGAATTCTCTAGAAGATGTAATAAAATGTTTTTGTAAACAAGTGCCTCATTTTTGGCCTATTGTTTTAAAATCAGACTTAAATCTTAAAAGTTCAAAGCATTTAAAAATTATGCTTGCTATTCATTTGGGTTTGGTGGATCAATTAGATGTGCATTTGACTAACAAAAATGAATTATTGTTTGACAAACTTTTCACATTAAATCATTACTTTAAAAATGGCCTTTGTTTGAATTGTGGGAATATTGGTGAAAAAAATCAAGGAATYGCGTGGACTGATTTAACATCTTTGGCATTTCWATATTTAAATCATGAAGAAAYTAGAAATTTACTCTTTAAACACAGATACTATATACCATGCGGGGATATTGACAATTGGTAATTATTAATAATATTCAGTTCTTGAAAATGTCTTTTAGAAAAGGAATTAGTGCAATATTTATCTTGTTAAAAAGGAACTTAATAGTTTCTCGTTCCTAGCTCARACAAAATTCCTTTSCTCATTCCTAGTTAAAGAACAATTTTCATTCCTCAACAATTCAAAAATTGTATTAATATAATTTGTAAAAATTAACTATTTAATTAGGTAGTTGTTTTATTTTTAATTTAACAAGATCATTGAAACACATTCCTCACAGCTCTGATAATATGTTATATTGAAATAGACATAATAYAACCAGCTTTTATTATTTTAAGGTTTTATCAAAGTTTTATTTTGACTGAGTTGATTGGTTTAAACTCAAAGAAGATTTTGATCAATACACTACAACATCATAATAATATTTCAATGATAAGCACAGAGGTAAGGGTCAACATTTTCCTAAAAATCYTTCAACATTTATTTTTTATTTCATAGTTTGTTTCTTAATAGAATTGTACAACTACATTTACAACTTTGGAAGAAGAAATTGGTAGAACTATACAGTTCAAAAATCAATATTCAAAAAAATCACATTGGGGTATACAAATTGATTTAAAGAATGGTTATTGTATTTGGTGTTCATTACCATTGAATTCTGATCCTTTAATTCGAGGTAAAAATAATGGACTTGTATCGTTTAGATGTGGACACTCTTTTCATACAGTATGTATTCGTCATCAAACTGATWATATTCAGTGTGTCRTATGTCGGAGAAAATGTTAATATGTATAAGAGTAAGAAAAAATTTGKTTTTTATATAAYTTTAAAATACTTTTATATGTTATATGAATATCGCTTGTTTATGAAATTATTAAGTTTTGRAAATAAAATGTTTAAATATTTAGTATACGTTATTYCTAAGTGAATTAATTTGGTTYATAATTATAATAACATTTTTATAATTTATTTTAACATAAAAAATATCTTAGGCTTTAAAAAAAATGTGATTATTATTTTTATTAGGTACTTAATAAAATATTATGTTATAATTATCTATCTCTAATGTTAAAACAGTGWAATATTTTTTTTTTTTATTAATCTATTTTTGTTACAATCATATCAAATCAACTGTCAAGTCATCGAATCACAMCAATATGTTATTTAGTTTTTTTAATATTGATTATACTTTTATCTGTCAGCTCTAGTAAATATTTACTTGRTTTCACTATTTAATATTGTATTGTATTAAACTTACTATATAAATATGTATTTAATTGTTGAAAATTGCATACACCCCACAAAATCAAGGATTTCAGTTTACAAGAAGGTTATGGGAGCAGTAAAACATGGAATCTTTTTTTTTT